GACAATGAGGTACTGTAATATAAAATATTACCTGAAACCTTTATCCCATATTTACATTCACTATTAGGGTGAAGCATATATGAAAGCACATATTGCTTGTATATATTCTTCAATATACCGAATTAGTTGCGATTTTAAAAGCTGCAGTTTCTCATGCAGCTCAAAAGTATGAATGTCGGTGTTTACACCTTCCCGAAGTATGATATCTAAAGTTTTACAATGGTTGAAAATGTCTTCGTTTGGTGTACTTTCACATGATTGTCATATATGAAAACCAATTGTTCAAAATATCCATTAAGTACTTTGAATCGACAGTCGGTTTCAATTATGATAACTTGCATGGATTGCATGGATTCATCAATATGTTTATAACTTATAATCGTTTCTCTTTGCATTACTTTTTCCTTTAAATTTATGTGCAATTTTTATAACTACTTTTTTCTGCAAACAATTTGGCTTATTCAACGATTTTTTCAAATCCAGTATGACGATAAGTGGGTCAGTCTTTAACCCACTTACGAAATAAGGGGGGTACACTGTCATTAACGATCTTCAAGGTAACTTCAATCGATTACCATAGTTTATTTATAAAGTTCACTCGTAGTAAAATTTTTTACCACACGAGTATTGCAACAATAAACTCGAATGCCAACATTTCATTCAGGATGGTTCACAATCGGTTAGACTTTTAGAATCATCAGTTTTATTTCTCTGGTCACCCTTAGATTAATATTCAGAATACAGGATATTTGTCAATAATTGTCTAATTACATTAATATAATAAATTCAATCTGGATTCCATGACTAAAATCATGTTGAGTAGCTTGTTAAATTGCAGGTACTCCCGTAGAGTAAGATCATATTTGGATAAAAACAAAAGTAATTACCACTATCGTCCAGGCTTAATGATTCTCGATGTATTCTAAATGTTATGGGTGCAAAAAATAAAAAAAATTAATATAATATATATATATTATAATTACAAGTATAAAAGACACGTCGAAAAAGCAATCTGGACAGTTAGCATACATCCATTGTCATTGCCTTTCTTGACCAACAGCGTGATCGCACCAGAGGTTTCAGCACCTCTAATATTAAGCTCAGACTTAACAACTCTCCAATTCAGTTTGACGCCAAGATAAAATATCTTGGTATTGTCCTCCCATCTCAACATAACTTTATACCTCATGTTAACTATGCCATCCGTAACGCCCGGTTCAGGCACATTCAACTCAAAACTGCACTTCATAGACATAACCAGCTTAACTGCAAAGTTAAGCTGCTCTGCTATAAGCAGCTTATTCGTCCTCTCTTCATCTACGCTTTCCCTATTTGGCCAACCATCACTTCCGCTCAAATGGAGAGAATCCGTCTGTTTGAGCGGATATTTCTTCGTGATTGCACCAACCAAAAGCGCAAGCCTAATAGTAAGCCCTTCTGCATCACTACTCTTTATAACAATGCCATGATCACTCGTGTTGACGAGTACCTTTTGTCACTCGCCCTTCGATATCTCACACGACTCCATGACCTTCCGCCTGACATCTCTAGCTCTAATACCCTCCCGGAAGACCTTGTTCAAGCCTTTCGCTTTAAACCTCCTCAGTAATAATCCCATTATTTCGACGAGTAAGACCATAACCCTTTCTTAATTCTCCTTTATAACCGCGGCTTTCGTGACGCCGGTCACAAAGTTTATCATTATTATTTATTATTTTAGATTTTAGAATATTTTAGACTTATTTTATGTGGGAGGAGATTTATTTGAACTTTAATAGATAAATGTTCAGATGGCTTTTCTCATTTCGATGTAGTAATAATCGAAACATTTTCGCACTAATATTTTAGGCATAACTTCACAGAATATAGTATCCCTTAAGGCGACCGTTATGCATTTGAAATACAAATCTTTTTACTAATTTGCTTTTGATACATTTAATGTCTGTTATATGAAAAACAAATCCCAAATCGGTAATTATATAATTTTGTGATTCAACAAAGGTACTAGTGCTTCATATGGTACAAAGTGCATTTGCTAAACAAGATAAACTACCGGTATAATACTGTCAGTTCCGATTTTTAACATTTTGCAAAGGAACTAATTACTAATTACGTATTATTACTTCAGTTACCCCAGCTATTATAAAGTAAACAAACTTTTCCAAATGCGATAATTAACACAGCTGCTTACTGATTATGCGGTATTGCTCCGGCCATAACTCTATACAGTTCTATACTTTATATCAACACATAACAATGTGTATTGCCTTTTACTTTGACATAATTATTTCTGTTCGTATGACACATCAGATTAAATACCAAATTAAGAATTGACTATATACCTTATCTATAAATGGAGCTTATCAGTCTAATGCCACTCCGAAACAGTTTGTCTAAAGTGAAGTTTTCTCTACACACATTCAAATGTCTGAAAAGATAGCTTGGCGTTAACCACAAAAAGGTGTACAATGCAAATCAAAAAGGTGAAAAAACAGAGCACTGCATATAAGCACAGTTAAGTTTGACTGAATGAGATCATCATTTACAGAGTTTGATATATCCCAAGGGTATTAAACTAAACAATATAAAATTATTTTGTTTGCCTCATAACATTTAGAATACATCGAGAATCACTAAGCCTGGACGATAGTGGTAATTTCACAGATCTATTTTTGTTGTTATCCAAATATGATCTTACTCTACGGGAGTACCTGCAATTTAACAAGCTACTCAACATGATTTTAGTCATGGAATCCAGATTGAATTTATTATATTAATGTAATTAGACAATTATTGACAAATATCCTGTATTCTGAATATTAATCTAAGAGTGACCAGAGAAATAAAACTGATGATTCTAAAAGTCTAACCGATTGTGAACCATCCTGAATGAAATGTTGGCATTCGAGTTTATTGTTGCAATACTCGTGTGGTAAAAAATTTTACTACGAGTGAACTTTATAAATAAACTATGGTAATCGATTGAAGTTACCTTGAAGATCGTTAATGACAGTGTACCCCCCTTATTTCGTAAGTGGGTTAAAGACTGACCCACTTATCGTCATACTGGATTTGAAAAAATCGTTGAATAAGCCAAATTGTTTGCAGAAAAAAGTAGTTATAAAAATTGCACATAAATTTAAAGGAAAAAGTAATGCAAAGAGAAACGATTATAAGTTATAAACATATTGATGAATCCATGCAATCCATGCAAGTTATCATAATTGAAACCGACTGTCGATTCAAAGTACTTAATGGATATTTTGAACAATTGGTTTTCATATATGACAATCATGTGAAAGTACACCAAACGAAGACATTTTCAACCATTGTAAAACTTTAGATATCATACTTCGGGAAGGTGTAAACACCGACATTCATACTTTTGAGCTGCATGAGAAACTGCAGCTTTTAAAATCGCAACTCATTCGGTATATTGAAGTATAAATGTCAAATTTTGTTGCTTAATCGAACATTTTTAGAGTAATCTAACATTCTTGCGCTAGTGTTGTTAGACATTTACATTTTTGACAAATACACATATCAAATCAAATCACAGTTTATATGTCAAATTATATAAAACAGCTTTTAATTTCAGGATAATCTTGCTACTTTTGCAAAATATGTCTTATAAATTAATCTGAAGTGTTATACATTTTGCTCGAGATTTACCAATCGAAAATAAAATTGCACTAAAAGTGCATTAAAAGAACATTAAAAGAACATCTCGATTGAAAAAATTACCCTAGAGGGCTTGGCGTTAACCACAAAAAGGTGTGAAATGAAAATCAAAAAGGTGAAAGTTAAATTTGACTGACTGAGATCATCAATTACAGAGTTTGATATATCAAAAGGGTACTAAACTCACACTTATTGCTTGTATCGCTTTCACCATGGGCCTTTACTTGAACTCAAATAGACTTTGGTATACAAGGTGCAATCTAGACTAACCATTTCTTGTCTTTTGTCAGCGCATTTCATCCTATCATATTGGTAGGCGGTGGTTACCATTTTTAAAATCAGTATATAACCATGTACTAAACAGTTTCTAGTCACGTATAAGTCCGTTAATTCCCAATGTGTGCCCTAACAGGACCCCCCATCAGCTCGCCTAACTGTGTTACTGCCCCAACGCACACACAAGCTTCAGCCCACGCCAACTTTGGATCCGCCCCATAGAAGTGGCAATGTATCTCCGCCTTGATTCTGGTTCACTTCAATTTAAGTTCAACCAAATCCCCAATTCATTCTCATCTTTAAATAATGTGCCCCCTCTCACACCACCAATACCTATCCACATCCTAACCCCCATGTTTTCGTCTTATATTTCTTTTTATGTTATCTGCTTTGTGGATCCTGATGGGCTGCAAAAACAAAAACTGTTAACTTCACTTTTCTTGCGAATGATGGAAATGTCTGTGATAACAACATTAAACTATCGCAGATACGTAAGCCCAGGATTTTCATGAAACTACATTTATTTCACTTCGATTACAATATCATCAGCATTCCAATGTATAAGAGTATGTATGTATATGAGATTTTTTTTTCATTTCTTATAAACAATAACACAAATTAATCCTTAACCAATTCTAAAAGCAGATTATATCATGTCAAGGACTCACTTGACTTTTTAGCTGACAAAGTGTAGTCACCCTTCCCAAAAGAAACTCAAGTGATCATACATTTTTGCCAGTCACTCACCAAAAACATATCACTTTCTATTAAAACTTGTGTACCTAGTACCAATTTTTCAGCCATTATAGATTTTTATTGCCTACTTTTATAAAAACATTCTTATCATATTCCAACACAGACAGGCAGTTTATATTCGCTATAAAAAAAATAAAAATTAAGTATTTGTTTATATTTTTCAACTTTACTTTAGATTTGCTTAACACTAATATATATTAAATCTCTTTTTGTTTAAAACAATTGACTTTTTGTCTAAATTCTTAATTGAATTTTTTTATAATTTTTTTAAATTTTCATTTAACATTTGCACTACATTTTTGTTTAAATAATTCAATCATAACTTTTTGTTTTGTTGTTGCATTTTTTGCACATATCCACGTACATAAACTCCAAGTTGCACGCTACCTTTGCTTGGGGTTTTGCTAAATAACAGTTGTTTTCAACTTTTTTGTTTTTTTTTACTTTTTGTTGTTACAAATGAGTTACAGTGTAAGTTTAATTAATAAATACTTTAAGAACAGAAGTATAATTAAATTTAATAACAAAATTCAAAACTCAATTAAAAAGCGCTTGTGTGCCAATGGCCCACAACCCCGCGCAAGCAAAACCCTACAATGTCGTAAAACTGCCTCACTTCCATAAAAACGCATTCTTCACATAAAATTTAAAACAAAACAACAAATTAACTATAAAAAATATTAAAAAAATAAATAAATAACAAATAATAAATAATATGGAATATAATAAAAATCATGAAAAACGATAATTACATAAAGTTGCTGGCATTAGCTGGTCTCATAGCGACATATGACCGAGAAGGTGTCGCCTCCCAAATACTGCGCCAACCACTTGTTTTTGACGACAGCCAACTTGAGCGTCTCACAATTGAATTTTGCATAAAGGTTAGTGTGGAGCGCACGTCCCATGCCCTCAATAACAAGTAAATCAGTCTCATATTTATGTATGGCCTCGCACAATTTAAGCGGAAGATTCCGCATATCTAAACATGGCCCGCGCTGACCATTACCGTAAACGACAAGAGATTTGTTTTCCCAGGCTTGTGCGAGAACATTGCAATGACAGGTACAAGACTCGATAATCGCATTCAGTTCACTGCTGGTCACATCATTCAATGAAGGCTCTGTGTTTGCACACAACAATACTTTGGTACCACGCTTCAATAGTTCGCGGGTGAATGGCAGTATACCGAGCACGACATCAACGCCGCTGTTATCAACAAAAATGAGTGCACATTTATGTGCTTTACCTTGCACACGACTTAGCCAGCTATCTAAATCATCCATTAGCCAAGGCCGTTTCTGTATGTGTTCCAACGCCGCATGTAAACCGAAAGTAGTATCATTTGCTAAAATATTCGCCACAGCTTGTGCGCCCCAGTCGAACATATTGCCAGCGAGAACGCCACGTATTAGCTCCGTCCAGCGTGCTGATGTGCTTTCAATAGTGTCAATTTCCTGCAAACGTTTCTGCAGCAACTGTATAGCAACTGCATTCTCTTCCTGTTTCTGTTTGCGCCAAGTGTCTGGAAAGCCAAACCGACGCAATTGTCTCTCATTCAAATCCAGCAGCTCACGTATGCTTAGCTTAATATTTTTTCCGGCATTGGTTTTTAATTTGTCATGATAATCGCTCATTTTCTTCAAGCTGTCTTTTTGGTACTGCGCAGCACGCTCTGCGGCTGTGTGGTCGTCGTTGCTTTGACTACCTTCAGCGTGCTCAGCAAATTTAGCAATCATATCGCGAAAACAAGGAAACCAATACTCTGCAGCTTGCACATTCGAATTTAGATCCAATAAGTCTGGCTGATACACATTGGCATCCTGCAGAAGCTCGCATCCGCTGGACTCATACATTTTGTCGCCGTTCTTTTCTCGTTCCTTTACCGACTTCAATTTGACGTTTTTTTACGTAGGCCACAAATAGTAAACTAAAATAGAGGAAATTGATGTAGTTATCTTTTATTTAACATATGTATTGTTAGTTGTTTTTTACTTGTTTTTTTTTAATGTAATTAAAATATTTGGAATTGGCTATTCTGCTTTTAACACCTATGTACTCAGGTTTATTTACATCTGCCCCTCACCGCTAGCGTTATAAATCATATATAATCACCTCTTCACAAGTATTATCAATATTTATTTAGAGAAGTTAACTTCTTTTGTTTGGTGCTACCGATAAAGTGTAAATACATAAACACAAGCACAACCCAGTTGGAAAAGTATTATCGCCAAATAGGGCACTGGTGAATTAAACAATATACATTGCTAGTTCATCAACAGCACGTAGCAACCATATAACAATTACCAACAGAAGCACGTCTTTTATACAAAAGCACGCAATGCACCGCAGCTTAGGTTTTTTTTTCGTTATCTACCGCCGCTCCTATGTAACTAAAATACTTTTAAGTACTGTCCTTTCTAGTAATAAAATATTTGACAGAACAATTTATACTTTTAATAAAATAAATTAAAAATATTTATCTACACAAACGCGCACCGTTCAACTCAAAAAAACCAATTTAAACTTGTCACAACGTATAGCCTGTAGTTCACTACTTGGATTATTAGTTTTTGGCATTCACCACACAGCTGACTGTCAGTCGAATCTACTACACTGCAAGAAATATTGATAATACATTCAATTTCTTTTATAGCCTAAATATGCAATTTCTAATATATAATTTTTTTAGCTTTATATTATATAACTCAAAATTATTTATTTATTAAGTTCACTTCTACCAGCAATTATTTTCTATTTGTTTTTAGCATATAAACACTACAATATATTATCTGTGTATCCTGCCTATCAAATATGCTGAGTGTAAAATGTCAAAACAGAATTAAATACAAAACCGCGATAAGCAAACTTTTATATTATGCTTTGATAATACAAAAACCACTTTTAATGAAATTATGTCTAATATATAAAAAGTTATTATATAAATATAATATAAAAGATATTATATCTATTTTTTTAAGATAGGCAGTAATAAAATTTAATAATCACACTAAAGTGTTTCTGTGATTACACGAGGTTAACAATATAACGAGATTATTATTGTTAGAGATACTCAGACCGAACTTAGTATTTGTTTAACTTCATCTATAAATCGTTTAAGTGTTATTGTAGCAAGTAACAAAACTTTATCTATAAAATTATTTTTATACCTGCGAAAACTTTTAATGTATTCTAAACTACTTAAATTCGGTTACTGTGTAACAGCTGATTATGAACTTTGTAGAAAAATATATAAAAGGTTGTTTACAAAGCATCTACACTAACTAAACGTTACTAAGTTGTTTGCATGCACTTTCACTTTTTCACTAAAACACACAAAATTTTGCTCGCAAGAAAATTCGAACATAATACATATCCGCATTTGAACATAAAAATATTACCAAAGACTAGCCAATTAAGTTGCCAATTTAAATCCAATCAGCTTTGAAGTTGATTAAACTGTTGAAATCTGTGGTTACCACTTTATATAATTTGTTTTATATCTCTTAACAGTTTTATTCATTCCATTTTTAAAATATTGTTTGTGTTGATGACCAAAATATAATGTGTTTAAAGTTTTTGGTAATCCATGAAGATGAGCATTGAAATTGGTCAAAAGATTGAACTAGTTAACCAATTAAAATTAAATTTATGATATTTATTTAATATTCTACACAAAAACTAAAATAGATTTCTTAAAATAATTTTTTCCAATCAGTTTTCATCAGTTTTCATGCACATTAAAATAGCAATTCAGTTTAAAAAACGGTATCGATAAAAATTTGATCGAATCGCCCATGCAATTGAGCGTGAAATTTTAGCAAGGTTAAGTTTAAGAGTGTTCGTAATTTTCCTTATAAGTTTTTTCAAATTATAGTACTACCTCAAAAAGGAAGACTTATTAAATCAAAAATATTTGTTCAATTTAAAGAGCCTTGTTACGATTTTAGAATTGAATTCACACAAGCCCGTGTTTTCAAAGCATCGTGAATAGTTTGATTGATGTATTTAAGATTTTATCTTTAAACATGTGAACGTTGAACATAAAATTGAAACATTTGACAGCCATTCAACTCAAAATTGCAAAACGTCGCAATTGGCGCCATATTACTGGTGAACGCTAGGTTAAAAAAATGTTTCGTTCTTTTCAAGGCAGATTGTATTTTGTTGTATCATAAAAAGTTATAAAACAGTAGCGTACCATTCTCACAAGATTATAATATAATAATCAGATGTAGCTGAATATTGCCTGTATATAGAAACGGATAAAACCCATAATGAGATGGATTTTGTATGCTGGGGCGAGCTACAAGTCCCTTGTCGAATACTCTGCTCTATTTGGAACCAAAAACTGTTGACTATCTATATATAACATATAATATGCCATAAATTTATATGTTTATATAATTTGTATAAATTTAAATATATGTATAACTAGTAGATGACCCGGCGAACTCTGTTCCGCCTTAAAGGCAATAAATAAGCAGTTTTTTTTTAATTGGAAAAAATACAAAAAAAAAAAAAATACCTACATTAATCATTCATAATTTATTTGCTGTCGAACGGGATAAAAAGTATCCTATACTCAAATTTTCAACCATACCATACATTATAATTGTTAATTATTTATTTTGTTGAGTTTGCAACAACCAGGTAGTTTTATTGATTAAAAACGATATTTATTGCAACACAAACTTATATTGATCTAATACAACTTTTAAAAACACATTAACTAAGTTATATTTCTATCTGTTAAATTTTAATAAAATATTTTCTTATATCAAAAATTTGATAATTTCAAAACCTACTTTGTCGTTTCTCACCACTGACGTTTCATGTCAAGTCACACGGGAATGCTGTCGAACGGGATAAAAAGTATCCTATGTCCTTCTCCTGGCCTTAAACTACCTCCCTGCCAATTTTCAGCTAAATCGGTTCAGCCGTTCTTGAGTTATAAGTGGTGTAACTAACACAACTTTCTTTTATATATATAGATATATATAAATTTATATAATTTATATTATATAACAAAAATAAAAAACATGTTGTATTATAACTACACGATCATGATTTTAGCAATTTTTGATAGCATATCATTTGTCGATAGGAAACTGACGAAAACCACAGTCAGGCCTGTAGTCAGAAATTTGATTGGAATAGGCTTGCAGATTGAAATGAGAAAAATGTTGAAAGTAAAATCTTGGATAATTTTAGATGAAAGGTTGGCCAGTTCATATGGATCGACTGCAATGTCCTAGTGAATCGAGGTTATAGCGATTTCATCTGAGTACATTAGAGGCATCTATGATTTGAAGTAATTGTGCTGAGTGAAAATCTCAAAAGAGTTTCATGTTTTGTACAGCTACAAAAACTAACTACATTTATCTAAAAATAACACTTTTACGCTTGCATGTAATTTAATAAATAAATAAAATAGTCATTATAGTAAAATTTCTATGTAAAAAACATTATATGCACTTTAAGAACGTTGGAGTCCCTAGTTTAGCCAGGAGTTTTATTTAAAAATTGGTTTATGATATGAGAAGGCATTGAAGACATTGGTATTATTATTAGTATTAACGTATTATTACTCTTTGCCTTGCAAATAAATTATTGTAATGGTGTATTCCCGTTTCAATGAAAATAGGTTGTGAATTTTATTGAAAGTTGCACAATCCACATATATTTTCACCGAGGCGTAGATATGAATTGTTAACAAATATCATCTTTAAAACTTATGATTTATAGTTGACGTGCTGCTCTTAACAATTATAGTAATAATTAAGGAACCGATAAATGCAAATGCAAGTTTTGGGAATTTTTTTTATGTGTGTCCTTTTTCCAATAATAAAAAGTTTGCACTGTCTTAGATGCACCAGCCATCAAAAAGGACAGACCATTATCAAGTGTTTTTTACTATTAAGGGTTTTTAACTGACCAGCAGCAAATATTAATAAATAATTTATTTGAAATAATTTGGAATTAATTAAGTTTATGTATATGTTTAAAGAAACTTTATAAAAACCACTTCACTCAATTCCTGCTTATGATATTCTGTTTATTTAAAATTAGTTTTTATGTATGTGGTAAATTTCTTTTACAATGCTACGTAAGTTTAATATAAACTTTATAAATATTATATGTAATTAATGTACATAATGATTTTTTTTATATACCATATACTATATATCAAAATACATTTATTATTTTATTAATAACTTGCATTATTGTATTATTATATATATAACTAAATTTTTGCAATTTCTGATAGATTACATAAATAAATGACAGTGGCAGCATTTTTCAGCAATTTGAAAGCGCCACCAAGCGTACAATGGCATGACATTTAAAAGGTGAGCTGTCAACGCAAAGTGACATTGGTTTTCTTTCCTATTGAAATTTCGACAGATCAACAACGCAGAAATGGTACGGCAAAATAATCCTAGGATATTTTAACCATCTTAATTTATGGGATTTAAAGTGTTATGGAAATATTATATTGAAAGTGCTCAGAATTTTGTTAATAATGTAATAATTTTAATTACATGTGTTAAATATAGAGAATTAAAAACAAGAAAATTTTGCCGCTTGTGAATTTGTTTATATAAACAATAATAACAATGCAATAAAGTAATTGACTCCTTGTTTATTTTTTTAGGCCAAACGTACTAAGAAGGTTGGAATTGTTGGTAAATATGGTACCCGTTATGGTGCCTCACTACGTAAAATGGTGAAGAAAATGGAAATCACCCAACATAGCAAATATACCTGCACTTTTTGCGGAAAGGTAAGTTCCATCGCGTAAACAAATATTTTTTCCTCTTCAAATAATAGCTCTGATGACTAAAATAAGATTTTATTTTAGGATGCCATGAAACGCGCCTGTGTCGGTATTTGGTCATGCAAGCGTTGTAAGCGCGTTGTTGCCGGCGGTGCTTGGGTCTACTCAACAACTGCTGCTGCTTCAGTGCGTTCCGCTGTGCGCCGTTTACGCGAAACGAAGGAACAATAAACAGTTCCCGGTTACACCCGCACTAAGCAACTGTCGACTTTCTGTTTTATTTTAAAAATAATTTGTGTAAACATTTTTCCAATAATTATTTTTGGAGAATAAACCCGTCACTTGGCTTAGTCCAAGACCAAAAATGAAGAGTAAACTAATTTCAATAAAAATTCAATAATGTGAAGTGATTTTGTTGAATTGTGTTTATAGTAAAGAATGATCGTGTTAGGATATTGAGAGCAAAAAGAAATATCTCCAACTGGCAAGGGCCAATACGCGAATAAGTGCTGTGGTAGTGAAATGACTCAACTTGCGAATAAATTAATTTTGTTCGATTCTATGTTAAAGATTTTCATTTATAATGTATGCGGTGCCTACTAATTGGTTAAATCTTTTTGAATTAAGCTCAATAGCTGATCTTACTCGTATTATAAATATCAGTTATATTGCGAAGCCGTAACTGTTGTGGTGAAGTGTTTGTGTATTGAGACAGTGTAGTGCAAGGACTCTGCTGATTATTTTATATTTATGCAATAGAAATCATTAGGTGCAAATAACTTAAAAGTCATTTTACTAAATATTACTCAAAAATGAAGTTTTGCTGGAACTTCTTAATTCAGCAGAAGACAACTCGCAAAGGAGCTCGAAACTAGGATAGAGCTAGTTAAAATAGACGAATCTATTTTAAGGTTTATAAAATGGAATGATATGTAATCAATAGATTATATAGTCTAGATAGCTTTCTTTACATTTGAAAAGGTAACTAACCAATGTTCCTATTTGAATTTTATCATAGTGTCCATTGTATAAAATTGGGGATTTTAATTATAAGTAGGGAAACATTTATGTACTTCTTAAAATGTCTGCATTTTTAATACAATCACATTACTTTCAGGAGTGCATACATTTCAGATCGTTTTTTAAAATACTTCTCCATAACATTATTCGTAAACTGTATTAGTTCATCACCCAATTTCACAATATAAACAGTTCTTACCTGAAAACGTTTTAATTCGTAATCTGCTCTAACTGCTGCTCTAGTTCGCATTATGACATTCAGTTTCTAGAAGCACTTATCTAATTTGAAAAAGAAGGACAGCATCTCGTCGATCTATTTAATCGTCATACCGCTTCAACTGTCTAGAACCTTATTAATATGTTTTAATTCTATTGTGCTAAAATTCCTTAGCCTAGATTAATGTAGATTTCAATTATTGTCTTACGTACTCACTCGTTTCTATGCTCCACTTACTTTATATTCGGCTAATATTGATCTCCTTCCTTTGTTGCGTACTATGTAGCTTTTATATATATATATTTTTGCTTGCTACGTTTTACTAGATATAATGAAACTGTCCAGTTTACAAAAACAACATGTTGTTGATTGTTGACTGAATCCAAAAGTGGATTGTGTGATATTGGATGTTTAATAATCTTGACAGAATAGCCATGCCATCGATGTACAGAGCGTAGAGACATCTTAAAAATTAGATATGATGTAAATAAATTTGAAGGATTTAAAAAGCATACCATACCGATTGTAAAGAATCAAAGGTAGACATTAGGGTGCCATTAAATTTCGAAAGTCGGAAAATTCCGCGCAGCACCATCAGAGCGGTTCATTTTACTAACAAAATAATCTGTGTAAAATTTTAGTTCAATTGGATAAGTGGAAATGGTGCCCCAAGAGCCCCAAAGATTGGAAAATAACGATTTTTTCCATAAAATTCATCTTTGATTGCTTATATCTCCGACATATTTAATTTTACATAAAAACTTTCCTAAAAGTTATAGATCTATTAAAATAAATAAATTAATTCACTATTATAAATAAATTTCTAATAGTTATTAAATAAAAGCAAATACAAGCTGAAATTTCCCAATTAAATTTAGGTAAGTTCTATGAATGCATTTGCCCGCATGACTGTTTGTTTACTAAATTTGCTTTAAAAAAAAAGTGTAACGTCTGGATAGTTGTATACATAAATGTGTTTCTGTGTTATTCATTGGAATACGTGAATACGTGAATTTTTGTCGCCTATCTGTCTCAATAACGGTATTTTATCGTCCTACTTTTTGAATTCTCAACTGTTAAAACTCATTACTAGTAAATAATTGAAAGTGATTACATTAAAAAGTGTTACCGAGATGACTTCTTTAAATTTACGTAAAAATATTTATCTTGTTGGTTATCATACTAGTGGGTTGACTGGTAGTAAATTACCATCAAATAGGGAAGTATTAAAAGTCCTTTTTTACTATGCGTGTGAATAAGTTATGGTTAAGGGATAGTGCTACATTAACTATACAAGAAGTATCGTATTTTGGCAAAAGGCACGAATACCAATAAATGAACAAAAACATTGCATTACAAAGAGTAGAAGACTTAATAAAGCAGTTCAAAGTTCAAAGTTTGTGAGCTAAATGCAGTTTGTGCGCATTGGGATGAATCTCATGACTTATTATAATCTCATCTGGGTCTGTTGTGCAATTACTTGAAATACCTGCACTGAAAAATGGTACCGGAAGAGCACAGGCATCTGCTGTTTGTAAATCAATTTTTGAATGGAGTTTGCAGGATTACGTGCAAGCTTTAGTTTTTGATACGACAGCTGTGAACACTGGTCCTTTTAATAAAGCTTGCTAAATTATTGAAAAACATTTAGAAAGAGATCTTTTATATTTAGTTTGCAGACATTACATTTACGAAATTATTCTCGAAAGCATCCTCCATGCTAACGTTTGCAAGTCTTCAAAACTTTTGGCCGAAAATAAACGTTGATATTTTGATAGTCGACTTAGAAAATGAAAAAGTGAGAAAATCATTGAACACAGATGATGTGTTACAAATAACTAGTTTCCTTTATAAGATTCATAAGGATAACTAACCAAGAGATGAATATAAGGAACTTCTTGAACTTGTATTAAAATTTTTAGGAGAACTGAAGCATAAAATTTCAATCCGCTGGGGCTATACATCACGCAAGATGGATAGCCAAAGCCATGCAACCATTAAAAATATTTTTATTTAGGAAAGAGTTCAAATTATATACAGAAGAAGAAAATGCTCTTTGTCAAAGCTCATTTCCAAGATTTTAATCTTCTTTCTACTTTCAATCAATATGAAAAAATTGATAAAGATATATCTAGAGCTACTTTGGAGAAATTATGTAATCATCTTTGGTATTTAAACTCCGAGCTTGTTGTGGTTTGATATTTTTCGATTCAAATATATCGCCTGAAACAAAGAAAAAGATGGTTTCGAATTTGAATATAGACAGTGATGACATGGACGTTAAGAGACTATCAATAGATCTGAAATAACAGTTGAACAGTTTGTATGCAAACATACTAAAAACATTTTTAATCGTTTTAAGTTGTGCGATGACTTTTGAAAAGTATGCCCTACAAAATGGTATAAAAACCTTAGTTTTATTCAAGCTAAGAAAACGCTTTTAAGCTTGAAAACAGTAAACGATACGGCAGAGCGAGGCGTGAAACCAATGCTGGACTATAATTTAATTTTGACTTCAGCTTATTTTTTGTTTTACACAATAATTATTAGAAATACAGAAAAACTTTGTATGAGTATGAGTAAATTGTTTATTTTTAATAGATTTATAACTTTTAGGAGGACAGTTTTTATGTAAAATTAAATATGTTGGAGATATAACCAGTCAAAGATGAATTTTATGGAAAAAATCGTTATTTTCCAATCTTTGGGGCTCTTGGGGCACCATTTCCACTTATCCAATTGGACTAAAATTTTACACAGATTATTTTTTTAGTAAAATGAACCGATCTGGGGGGTGCCGTCAACCGATTTTTCGAAAAAAAGTTGCCCATATACCTAAATGACACCCTAGTAGACATACAGTATAATCACAAATAAATAATAATGCTAAGAACAGGAAACTGATATATAACCAAATAATTTGTCCGTCACTTCTATATGGTTGTGTAGCGTTTAGCAAAGCTTCAAACACTACTATTCACCAATTAGAAATTGCACAAAGCCAGGCTCTGAGAAGACTTTTCAAAGTTCCTTGCTATATTAGGACGAATGACATCCTTAGGGACCTCAAGATTGATCCCATCAAAAAATACATAAAGGATAGAGCCTTGAAATTATTTTCGAAATCTGACAGACTTACTAACACCGCATTATCAAATCTCAGAATGGTTACAGGCTCCTCGGAGAGGTATGCAGATTTGAGGTCAATTATTACTTAGTCTGATGATGTGATAAATAATAATCCAGTCAAGACGCAAAGAGGGGTTTTGAAGAAACCTCGCAGTTAATATAGAGTAAAAGTGCTCTGGTGCACTGACTTAACTTCCCTCAACATAATAATAAATAATATTTTATTAATTATATTATATTTTATTTTTAATTATATTATAAAATATTTTATTAATTATTTGTCTATGGTATAAGTAACAGATAAGTATAAACGATAAACAATAAGTTGGTACTTGGAAAGATATTTGATATATTATTATTTTAAAAACTTTGCAAAAAAAATTGACGCTTTTACGCTTACTGTAATAACTTACTTTCTGAGAATAAGAAAATGGATGGAAATATCGGATCGTAAATCGTAAGCATCGGATGTAGACTCCAAAAAAGATGTTTTTGTTAAAGTTGTGAGGCGAATGAAAGAGTCGTGCTAGTTCTGTCATATTTTTATGTACTTGATTTTAAGCAAGAAGATAGCTTGGGCTTAAATTCAAAGAACCAATTATATGATTTGGAATGTCATTTAAGCAAAATATTTTAATTTTGTCCTCATTGTTGCTACAAACTAAAAGAAAGTAGGGAGTTCCTCCTTCTATGTGGAATATTCTAACAAAAGAATTCACAATTCGAACATGATTTCAAAGTTAAGTGAATTGCTTTGCGGACATGTGGATGTTAAGTGAATATGTTTAAAATATATAAATAATGTAAACAGCTTCATTATAATTGTTATAAAATTTTAATGACTCTAACTAATATTAATAATTTAATAATGGTTCTACACAATTATTATTATTCAAGGTATTCATTATTTTTTAGTTATTTTTTTTAATTATCTTTTTTAATTTCTTGTTTATAATTTTAATTTATTTATAATTATCTTTTTTAAATATTTTTTTTATAACTATTTTTTTATGATTTTTTATAGTTAATGTTTTTATAAT